GTCAGCCTGCATGGTCCCTTTGCTGTCAGGGTAAAACACTGTCCGCTCGCGCCGCGGCTGTAGCAGGGATGGTGTGACAGTGTTGGATGCATCTGTGCCGGATGCATTTGCTGGCGGCCGGAATCCCGCGGGAACCCCACCGGAGCTGCAAGAGTTTCGGAAGAGAGGCATGAAGGCTCTAAAGGAGATGGAGACAAAAGAAATAACATGCACACGTGCAGACACACACATACACACACATACACAGAAAGAGAATCATTACAACAGCAACAAAATCAGCTGAATCTACGCATCTCCACCACCAACACCACCGGCGAGAGCAGAAAAAAAATAATAATAATAAAAGGGCAAAAATGGCCTATGGACATACCGCAGCAACATGCCAAGGAATTCACAGAGACAAGTAAACTGAAAAGAGAAAGAAAGTTTTTAAAAAAAACACACATCATAGCAGCGAACTACATCTGATGTGCTGTGAAGGGGGGAGGAGGGAGGAAGTAAATCGCGTTTAAAATAACACCGTTATTTGTGCCCAGTAAATCAATTCACAACCACATCAAGAACCAACATATATATGCATATGTAATGCCGACAAGGAGAGGCGCTCTGCATAGGGCAAGTAAAAGTAAAAGTAAAAGAAAATAAAAGAAAAAAGTCTGGGTCACGACTCCGGTTTCTTCCCCCATTGCGACTGAGAGTTTGTATAATCCCACTGCTCGGTGGTTGCTTCCTCACCACCAACGACTCTGTTGTCCTCCGTACAATTTTGGGCTTGCATGGTGGCCATGATCAGAGCATGATCCGCGTTCCTCACATGTTGGCACAAACCGCCAAGAATATCACGACAATTGGATATAACGCGGTACTTCTGAATTTTCTCTGCCACTCCCACTGCATTACGCAAAAATCTCTTTTTTTTCCTTGCACTTGTGCGAGTGGCGTCTAATCCTGGGCTTGTCGGGCGTCCCTGGTTTGTCGCTTCGTCGTTCAATGGTGTGATGCGCACCTCGTTCCCCTGGAAAACGGTTCCGGAAAGTAACTGCGCTACCTCAACACTTCCCTCATATTCAAACTCAACCACCGCAGAGCAGCCCGTGACGCCCTTCGGATCGTCGCTCACGACGACGTTTACAACCTTGCCACAGTAACCCAGCAAATCTTCCACATCCCGTGCCGCTGCATTGGCAGTTAAACCGTCCACCCTCACACGCGAGCTTTTAGACATGAATTACGTTTCCCTGCTCAATGCACAAGCGGTCTTCGTTTAATGGTATGATGATTGACACCTTTGGATTTGCGACTCCTCTCCTCCTGTGGACCTACTGAAATGGCCAACAAAACCGATTAACACACGCACGTAGACGCTACGTGTGTATGTAATGTGTGCTTGTGTGTGACAGAAAAGAAGCGCCACAATCGACTTGACGTGTATATTTTGCCTGCGTGTATAAATGCGCAACACCACTCACTCCCCATCTTCCTCCCCACCCCCCCGCCCGCCGTCATAAACAGAGAGAAAAAAAAAAGAGAAACAATTAAAGAACACAACACAGAAAAAGTTCCTCATGCCATTTAAATCTCTCCAGCCCCCGCCGTTTTACCGCCCCTCGCCTACACCCTTTCCTTCGCCTTTCGTGCTAGTGTGAGCACGCAGAAACAAAAAAAGGCCTAACGACGCGGAGTACACCTGAAAAAAAAAAAAAAAAAAAAAAAAAAAATGGGTGTAAAGAACTCGTCGCCAGCACGCTTTGAAGCTGCGCGCGAGATCGCAACTGATTTCTAGTCAGTCCCCTTAACCACTTGCGTATGGCGACGCGGCGGCGCAGTGCGTGCTGGGGATCCTTCCGCCCCTTCGTTGAGGTCATTGCAGCTTCTTCCGCCGCTTCCGCGCAGTCTTTTCAATCTCCTTTTTCTCTCGCAGGAGGTTCACAAGGACTTTGATGCGGCTCTCCAACTCGCGTCGCTCCTTCCCAGTTTTGCTCTCGAGGACCGCCAGTGCCGCCCGGAGTGCCTCGTTCTTCCTGGCAAAATCGTACCGCGCCAGACGATAACTAACATCCTCAAAGCGACGCATCATTTCTTTATGCTCAGCTTCCCACTCGCGGCGCTGCAACTGCAGGGCCTCAACCGCGTCACGCGACTGCCGCAGGGAATCTTGAAGTTCACTCACCGTCTCTGACAACTCGCGGCAACGGGATTCTAAAATGTCAATCTCCTCGTCCTTCAAGACGGGGTCAACGAGCGCGGCCGCGGCGTGTTGCGCCGCCACCGCTGGTGCTGGGAAGGAGGCAATAATTTCAAGCGCCCGCGCCACATCTGCCTCTGTGAGGCCAGTCTCTGTCTCTGTCTTCAAAAAATGGCCACGCATGCGGTCATCCACGTCCAGCAGCATGTCGTCTATCGCAAACCAACGACCGCCAATCGCCTCCGGGTGTTCCCGTATGTGTGTATGAATCCACCTCTTTACTTCATCTACGCGGTCCCTCACAAGGCGCTGCTCCGACGGGTCATCCGGATAGTACGTCACAGCCGTTGCTTTGGGCGTCCCATTCGGCGTGCCTCCCGCAACCGCCGGCACGCTACTCCCCACCGTCTTCTCCATGAATTCATTCAGCCGCCGCACCTGCTCGGGGAAGTTGCGCCACGTGGAGGAGAGGATAATGGTAACTTTCTCCGCTCCGCCACAACCGTTGACAATCTTCTGAAGAACACGAACACTTTGTGCGCAAAGGTCGCCGCCGCCGAAGGTGAAGCGAGGCACGGGGAGCAGCACGCCGTCAACGTCCAAAAAAATAACAACGCCGTCGGCGCACGACATCATCTACCCTCCTCTCTTATCCTTCCTCCAAAGCTTACGGGAGACGCAGATAAGAAAAAAAGACGAGTAACTATGCGCATCCGTGAAGGCTATACACACGTGCACGAGGGTGTAGGGCCAACTGACCGATAAAAAAAAAATAAAAAAGGAAGTAACAAAACAAACAAAGAGCCAAAATTTAAAAAAACAAAAACAAAAAAATATGCAGCACGCACAGATAGAAAGACAGAGAGGAGGTAAAGTAAGTTCTTAATCCAAGGCAAGATCAAGAAATGAAATAGACACAAAAAACGAGGAGAGGGGAGAGGGGAGGAAATGCATCTTCATATATACACACAAATATATAAATGACAAAACACACACTCTTGACAAGAGTTATTGGGCAACAAGTAAACAAAAAAAAAACTTTTCTTTTCCTTTTCTTGTTACTGCCTCTACCGTCTTTGCACGCGTGCACACCGCAAACCAAAAAATGATACAAAAAACAAAAAAAAAGGAGGGGGAGTGAAAAACAGCCAAACACGGCACACGACAGACGCAGCACGTCAACTACCAACAACATTCACTTTCTGCCGTTTGCTCCTCCTTCTATTGACCCTCGCAGTGGTATTGCCTGTGTTGCCTCTCTAGCCTTCTTGCAGCGGCAGCAGCAGCAGCGGCCCAGCCCACGAGTGTACCCCCCTCGTGCTTCTATAAATGCATACAAATGCAGCTACCGATGGATCAGACGCGGCGTGCATAAGCTTTGAGGATGCCGCAGAGCCGCACCTTCCTCCCTCAACCCCTAGGCCGCGGAAACGTTGAGGTGAGTTTCTCAATGTCCATCATCTCGTCATCTCTTGGTGAGCGTTTTGGTGTGCGGTTTCTTGGCACCGACAGGAACGTCCTGTGAACATGATACCTGGAAGACCTTGGCGGCGTCCTCGGCAACAGCTTGGATTCGGTACCTTCCTCTTCACGTTTGGCTCTCGCGCTCTTCCCCATGGTGCGCACTTCGTATTCTCTTCTCCCCAGCGAATGCCCCACGCCACGAGTGGAGTAGCTGCGGCCTGCCTGACGGATGGCCCGAGTCTCGCCCTGCCGTGCTGGCTGGCCTCGCCTCTCGTGTCGGAAGTTAAAGAGGCGAAGTAGAGTAGGAAGTTTAGTTTTACGTTTTCCTGGCAGCTCCACGACAAAACGCTCAATCAGGCCTCTAATGTAGATATCTCGTCGCATGCACATAGTACGTCGGTCGTCCACCTCCAACAATTTCATCATTGGAATCGCAACCATGTGAATGTAGCCCATCACAAAGGCTGCCTCTAATACTGCTGCCTCATACACTTTGAACTGTTCCAGGAAGTACGATGAAAGAAACCCTTCAAAGGCATGAAACGACTCATCCAAGTTCCGGCAGTGATCTACTGCAAAAGACACCATCGCGTGATTAATGTTACCTTCAGTAAGGACCCCGGACCATTCCAGCAGGCTGCTGGGTTGCCGCATAAAGTTTGAAGTCGGGCCTCCACGCGTGAACGGTTCATTCGACATCCTTCCTGTGATGTTTTTCTCTAGCGGAGAGGCCTTGTTAGCTCCAGTGAGGGCTGACGCAGAATGGCGCGCGGGAGTCGTGGGCCCCTCCAACTCAATGAGCACCTCTTCATCATCAATGGGCGTAATGACCCCAATACCAACACCATCCGTGGGCGAAAACACCTCCCCAATCGCCGAACACCCACGGAAATTCCTTTGGCAATCCCCTATCGAGTTAAGAGACGCCGCCATTTGTTCCACCTCCTTCCTGCCATTCACCCCCATTTCCGTGGGAGGAGGAAAATCCACGTCTTTGTCAAATGGCCTGCCGACGAAAACCGGCAGCTCTCCTTCGCACCTTTGCAAATCTGCGGAAACACAACGATCGGCACCCACCTTGGTGGACGTGTTGACGCTGCTGCCACCTCCATCGCTACTTTTAGGCTCTCCAGTACACAGTACTCCCTCATTAAAAGAGACGCACGACGCCGGGGCATGAAAACAGCGTGAACGCACGAAACGAACTGCTACATTCCCCTCATCGCCCTCTGACGAAGGAGGCGGAGGAGGAGGCGGAGGAGGAGACAGTCCAGAACCCTCAGCGCCCTTGACGGACGCGCACACAGGCACCGGGCGAAACGGAGCTGACGTCAAACATTTATTTTTACCCGGAGCTGAGGGCATGGCGTTGAAATGTCTCAGAAATAAATACTTCTGAAGGAATTTCAGTGGGCGTTGCGTCCACTTTTGTGAAGAGAACTTTTTCTCCGCCCGAAGGATAACGGGCATGGCGTTGCTGAGTTGGTTTTCCTCCACGACGCTACCGCCGCCTTTCTGTAGAGTGTGGCCGGTAGCCTCCACCACAATTTCGTTAGGTGACGAGGAAATTTTCTTTCCTCGCTCAGGTGCAGACATCGATGCTGCCGCCGCCGCAGTCACAACGCGTGTTCTGGCGCAGAACTGAGAGCTGCGCAGGGTCTCACGTGCAGCACGGGCAGTCTTCCAGCTTGGAGTGTTTGTGACATCGCCGAACAGCACAGGTTCTCCTGCGGAAGTTTGTCCAGAGATTTTTTCGTGGGACGTCGCCAGTGACATCGCGGGAGGTGGGGTGGGGGGACGCACGCCTCTGGTGAGTGACTGGGAATCAAAACTTTAATTTCTATCGATCTAAGCAATCCTGCCGTCGTGTCTGTGGGCCTGTGAGGGGAAAAAACAGTAGCAACAACAACCACGGAGAGAAAAAGTATGAATGAAGAACCACCAGGACAAACAGCTGCAAAAACATCGTTCACAGCCGTCATTACAACCCACCCAAACAAAACGCTTATGTGTTGCAGCGCGTGTAAATGAAGGCACCGATGGTTTTTCCTCCTTGTTTTATGTTTGCTCAGTGGTGCCTCTTTTTTTTTTCTCTTTCTTACCGTCAGTTTGGCATTGCGGGCCTCTCTCCGCGCAAAGCACTTTAGAAAATGAAAAAGAGAGCCGATAAAACAAGCCAATAGTCACAACCACAGTCATACACGCAGACATACAGGATAAAGCGTGTATATGTGTGCATGGAAAAAGCAAGCTGTTTCGGCTTAAACGAGGCTTTCA